ATAGTGCATGCATTCTGAGAATACGTACGTCCTAGACCTACAGGAAGCTCAACTACCGGTGCCCTCGCACTTCCGGGTTATATAAGCCTATGTATATATACATACATATATACATATATACAGGAGTCTATCAATATATTGTCTATTGATAGACTCCTGATATATATAACTAGGCTTTACTCGTTACTGCCATGATAGCGTTATTATCGGGCCGTTGCGCCTGGATGAAAGGCATTGGTCTGGTCAGAACTTCAAGTCTCTGAAATAGAAAGGTTGCATATGTACGATATGGTGGCCTGTAAAGCTAGCTAGCTAGATGTAACATCGTGAAGCTAAGTTTAGATAAACCAATATGTCATAATTAACCGCGCCTGTGGTTTGTCAGCTACGTCTACGCATTACAAGTCCATATAGAGGTTCTACATAGGCTGCCTTCTCACGCATTGCATACAAAAACTGGAATAGTATAGCAGTGAACTACACTCCATCCTTCCTTAACAACCGCCCCTGATACTAAATACCATGGTAGAGATTGAGAGACAGAAATAGAGACAGCGAGGGGAAGAATGAGAGGCGCAAGAGAGAACGGGGTAACGAGAGAGGCTGCGACAACGAGGAAGGAGAGGTCAAAAGCTAGAGAGGAGAGAGTAGAAGGAGAGAGAGAGAGCAGAGAGGAGAGAGAAGAGAGAGAGAGCGAGGAGAGAGAGAGAAGAGAAGAAGAGAGAGAGGGAGAAGGGAGAGCGAGAGTAGGAGAGAGAGAGAGAGAGAGAGAATAGAGAGAAGAGAGAGAGAGAGAGAGAGAGCAGAGAGAGAGGGAGCGGGAGAGAGAGCAGGAGAGAGAGAGAGAGAGAGAGAGAGAGAGAGAGAGAGAGAGGGAGAGGGAGAGGGAGAGAGAGAGAGAGAGAGAGAGAAGAGAGAGAGAGAGAGAAAGAGGAGAGGGAGAAAGGGAGAAGAGAGGAGAGAGAAGAGGAGAGAGAGAGAGAGAGAGCGAGGGAGAGAGAGAGAGAGAGAGACAGGCGAGAGAGAGAGAGAGAGAGAGAGAGAGAGAGAGAGAGAGAGAGAAGAGAGAGAGAGGAGA